AAACAATGAGATGCTCAATTTCTATGCCATACGTCAAAACAAGATCCAGGGTGTGATTAAAACGGTGGGTTGGCTTCTTCACATTCTGAGAGAAACCCACTGAGTCTAACAGTGAACTAAAAGTAGAGCTGAGGCTGTCGTTCTCATCATCTACATGAATATTAAAGTCACCCACTATAATGATTTTATCTGCACTGACCACTAAGTCAGTTAAGAACTCTGAGAATTCGGTTAGAAACTCAGAGTAAGGAGCGGGTGGTCGATATACGACAACTAACAGAACTGGTGTCTGCGCTTCTGGTTCAGGCTAAGACTAAGGCTTTCAAATGATTTATAACTAAGTTTTGGTCTCTGGTTATATATATACACACACACACACACACATACACAAACACACACATACATATAAAATTTAAAGAAATTAAATATATATACATACATACACACACACATACGTATGCACATACATACATACACATACATACACACATACATATGAAATGAAGTAAAAATTTAAAATAAAATAATGAATAAATAAATAAATAAAAACATACATACATTAAGGTGACAGAATGGGTGACATTTAATGACAACAAACAAACAAACAATAAAATAAAATAATAATACAATGACATTTTACATCAAAATACACACACACACACACACACACACATACATACATATATATATATATATACATATACATATCTCCCCATATTTACTGTGTCCCGGAGAGGCGGATGTAGGTGTCTCAGAAAGGCTGACCATGTTCTCTCAAATAAACTGTCATCCCCTTTCATTCCTGCAGTAAGTCTTTCTAAGGGTAAAATTTTGTACATTTCTTGGTACCATTGTGTAACAGTGGGAGGTCTGTCACTTATCCATTGCTTTAAAATACATCTCCTAGCCAGAAGCAAAGTTTGTCACAGAGTCTGAAATCAGATCTACACAGAGACAATGTTTTTGAAGGTAGGCCCAATGTGAAGAGACCTAAATCCTTTGCAAATTTAAGTGAGAAACTGTTCCCCAATTCTTGGGCTACATTACTCCAAAACCTTGAAATCAAAGGACACTTCCAGAAACAGTGAATGTATGTTCCGACAGTACGTTTGCATTTAATGCAGAGAGGAGAGGACTTGTTGTCGATCTTATTAAGAATGGATGGTGTTATATGTGATCTGTGCAGTATCTTATATTGGGTTTCTCTTATTCGATTACAGATGAATGTGGTTTTGGCAGTGGCTATTGCTTCATGCCAATCATCTTCTATATATTGCCCACCAAGACCAAGTTCCCACTTTTGTACAACCTTACTGATATCTGACGGATCTATAGAGTACAGCATCTAGTAAGAATGAGAAAGAAAATGTCTTGTGTTCTTTCGGTTCAACAAAAAAAAAATTCTACATCGTTAGAAATGGGGAGATTTTTCACCTTTGACAGAATAAAATGGCGAACTTGGAGGTACCCAAGAAAGTGCTCAGGTGCAATGTCATATTTTTCTTGAAGCTGCTGAAAGGACATTAGTATATTACCCTGGTATACATCCTGAATAAGTCTGATGCCCTTTGCATGCCATCTATCAAAAATACTATTTTTAACTCCTGGGGTGAACTCTTCATTCTTAGTCAGAGGTATTAACCCCAAGGATAGTGTTTTTTCCAAAGTACTTTGTTATGTCACGCCAAACTCTGATAGTTTTGTAAGTAATGGGGTTACAATGGGTGTCTGATGATCTCTTTTTCCTGCAATTAGTTAGCTGACTCAGCAAGGAGTAGGGAGAGGGGGCCCACTCATCAATACTTGTTTCAGATCTTAAATGAGACTGTAGCCAGTCCCAAATTATTCGGGTGTGGCAGGCCCAGTTATAAAATCTCAGATTAGGCAGGGATAAGCCTCCTCGTTCCCACGGCAGTTGTAAAGTCTTAATTCTGATTCTGGGCTTTTTATTGTGCCAGATAAATCGCGAAAAGGCCCTTTCTAGATCTAAGATTATTTTCTTTGATATCCATAATGGTAACATCTGCAAAGGGTAAAGTAACCTGGGGAGTATATTCATCTTCATAAGACTAATTCTGCCTATCCAGGAGAGCGGTCAAGCCACCTCTCAAGGTCATTTTTAACTGCTCTAATTGCAGGCACAAAGTTAAGTCTCCACAGGTCCTCAACACTAGGCGATACTCTGATACCAAGATAGACAAAGCCTGAGATGGCCCATCTGAATGGAAAATTTGCAACTAAACTTGTGCTGCCGAAGTTCCCCAGGGGCATAGCCTCAGACTTTGTGTAGTTTACTTTACAACCATTTATTGAACTGAATGAGTTGACAACTGACAGGGTGGACGGGACTGAGACCTCAGAGTTTGACAGAAACAGTAAGATGTCATTCGCATATAACGCTATCTTGTGGGTGGTCTTGCCTAAAGTGAATATCCTTACTATTCCTGATGCATTCTGCTAGTGGCTCTAAAGTGAGGGCAAAAAGGAGGGGGGAAAGCGGGCACCCCTGTCTCGTCCCCCGGCACAGTGGAAAAGGGGGTAAACGCGCGCCATTGGATGCAAGCCTCTGGGGAATGGTAAAAAAGTTTTATTCAGTTTATAAACTGCTCACCGAATCCAAACCTGTCCAGGACATTCCACATGAACCCTCACTCAACCCTATCAAATGCCTTCTCTGCATCTAATGATATAGCTAGGGCCCTATGTTGCATCTGTGTGCAATACTGTGCAACATTAAGAAGTCTTCTCACGTTGGAGTATGAAAATCTCCCCCTGACAAACCCTGTCTGATCAGTGTTTATAAGTAAAGTAAATAAATCTCCAATCTTCTGGCCAGTACTTTAGAGTAGTGATGTGTTGGTCGCGAACGAACCGATTCAAAGAGCCGGCTCTTTAAAGTGAACGATGGGAGCCGGCTCCCGTCAGTGAGCCGTTCTTTGCCCCGCCCACAGCCTCAGGCAGAATGACTGGAGGCGGTGTGCTCCATGCGTGCAGTGCATGACTGTCACGTGCTTGCTGTGTGCAACCAATCACAGGAGGATATACCAAGAAGAGGGGGGCGGGGTTGCGCCACAAGCTTGTGTTCATTGGACAGAGCACGCAGGTGGGGAGAGAGAGGAGCGACAACGAGAGAAGGCTCGAAAAAGAAAGCGAGGAAGAAAGATGAGGGAGATAAAACGGAGCAGCATTTGGATACACTTTAATAATATTGACAACAAATAGGCAGAATGCAGAATCTGCAAAAAAAAACTGTAATATCGAGCAGGGTCCACAAACGACCTCCACAGACAGGAGAACTGTGCATCCAACAGTTCAATTGGAAGGAACAAGGCAGGCGAGTGCGCCTATACACACACACACACACACACACACACACACACATATATATATATATATACTACTCACAATAAGTTAGGGATATTGTTATTTACATGAGTGCTTTTCCTATTTGGTCTGAATTTTAATGAAATAAGTAAAAGTTCCCTTTCATATTACTAATAATGAATGAGAAGAAACACCATTTTCATTAGTTTAGTATTTATTAACCCCAAAATTTAAACAATAACAAGGATAGCCCCAAATAACAAAAATTGACAATGTCAGTAGTGGGTGTTTCCACCATTTGCTGTAATGACAGCTTGACAACGTTGTCTCATGCTCCTCACTAGCCTCATGATGTAGTTCTGAGGCAATGCGTTCCACTCTTCCACAAGTGCAACGCGCACTTCTGCCAGGTCACGTGGGGGTGGATTACGGTGATCCAGTCTCTACTTCAGCTGGTCCCAGATGTGCTCTATGGGGTTCAGGTCAGGAGACATTGCTGGCCATACCATATGAGGCACTCCAACTTCCTGAAGTTGAGTTGTGACAATTCTGGCACGATGTGGTGGAGCATTGTCATCCATGAACAGAAAGTTGGGGGTGTGCTGGCGGGATTGGGGGATGATGATGGGTTCTATGATGTCTCTGAGGTAGGAATGTGCAGTGACTGAGCCATCTACAAAAACCATATCTGTTTTGCATTGGCTGGTGATGCCTGCCCACACTGTTGCACTTCCTCCACCAAAGCGAACCCTGGGGACCATGTTAACCTCGGCATATCGCTCCCCTCGCCTTCTCCAGCAACGCTGACGACCATCATTTCTGTGCAAGGTGACTCAACGCTCATCAGTGAACAGGACGGTAGACCACTGCTGCATTGTCCAGGTCACATGGTCTTGTGCCCACTGCAAACGTTCACGGCGGTGTCTTGGTGTCAGTGGAGTCACCTGCAACGGTCGTCTGGCATTCAAGCCAAAGTGGTGGAGTCGGTTGCCAATGGTTTGTCTGGAAACCCTAGTACCCCTCACATCTCGTAAACGGGCCTGCAGCTCTGTGGCACTTGCATAGCGATGTCTGAGTGCATAGGTCCTGAGGTACTGGTCATCGTTGCGGTTGGTCACTCTTGGGGCCCCACACACCCAAGTTCACGAGCAACATCCGACTGCCTGCCACCAACTCAAAGGCGTGCTAAGGCCAGGTGGCGCTGCTTGTCCGTTAAGTGATGTCGTGTGTTCATGGCTTTTTGAACGATGAACTTGAAATGACTTACTGACAATGCCAGCTTTTTATACCCACAGAATGTTGAAATTGGTGCCACACTGAAAAGGGTTGTCTTTTAGTTTTTTGGTATTGGCCCCAATATGTAAGGCACACTGTACACAGTGAGACCATTACATGGAAAACCCAAAATGAGGTGTGTCTATCACCCCAATACAATAGCCTCCCTGTCCCAGAAATCTCTGAAGTGAAACAAAGACTGTATGTATGAAATCCACTGAGTCTCTCACAATATCCCTAACTTATTGTGAGTAGTGTATATATGTGTGTATATATTTATCTATGTTTCTAACTCGGGTAATTTTAGTTTTGCTGCTATTTTGTTCATTGTAATACAGCTGTTTCTTTTTCAATGTTATTTATTCTATTATTTATGTTATTTTCATGTTATTTTATATTTATTTGTGTTTAAGTAAACACTGAAAATCTCAATAACTGTCCTTTTTTATTTTGATGCTTAAGTTTTTAAAGATGTTTCTATCTGCTTTGTGTAGCAGAGTGGTTCTACAAGCAAGTCAGTGTGTTCATTGGGTGGTTTCATAGAGTTACAAGGGTCTGTAAATGCAATGAAAACAAGTGGCTACAGCAATTTACTGATACTAGAAAATGTAATTTTTACTTGTGAATTCTGTAGCACAAAGGATGTATTGAATTATTTAAGAGGTATGTGTACACCTATGTATATATCATAAGTCAAACAACACTAAATTTGGCTGAATTAGAAAATGTATGAGTGGTAAATTGAAGAGCTGTTTGGGAGCCGAAAGAGCCGGCTCTTCTTGGTGTGCTGAGCCGAATGATCCGGCTCACTCAAAAGAGCCGTAATTCCCATCACTACTTTAGAGAGTATCTTGCTGTCCACATTTATAAGGCTGATAGGTCTGTAAGAACCACACTCATCTGATGGTTTATTTTTTTTTCAGGATTAGAGGGATATTGGCTAGATTTACAGAGGAAGAGAGACATTGCCTTCTGAAAGAGTCCAAAAACATATTAGTCAGAGGGCCCACCACAACTCTGCTCAATTTTTTAGAATACTCCGGTCCATACCCATCCGGTCCTGGTGCTTTCCCACTCTGAAGTGTGCGAATGGCATCCAGAACCTCTTCCTTGGTAACTGGTCTATTCAGAGATTCCTGCTGTTCTACTGAGAGAGAGGGAAGACTGACCTGATCCAGGAAGGATCTTCTTTGCTCATCTGCAGTATCAGATTCGGTGGAATATAACTTGTAATAGAACTGTCTCATAATATTGTTAATTTTTTTTGATTCATGAACTTTGTTTCCATTGCTATCTTTAAGTGACGATATTAAACTAATGGTATTTCTGCCCTTTGCCAGGTGGGCAAGAAGGCGGCCAGGTTTATTGCCATGTTCATATAGTCCTGTCTGTGTAATGGCTCTAAAAATGTTAACTGTCTAAAAGTCAAAGGAAACATAATATGTAATTCTGTGTTAAAAAGAGAGAAGGAAGTAATTTGCTTTAGTTCATATTAGCACTTCAAAAGGGAAAAGCGCGCATATCATAATTCATCTTATAGAAAACAGTGATTGCACAGTGATTTCCTGATTGATTGATCCACTATCGATTACTCTGGTCTTCAAGCTAAAAAGTTATAAATGACGCATTAGCACAATAACGAGTTAAAAATGCCATTGTTTAAATGTTTTTTTTTGCTCATTTACTATTTTGCCTTGTTTTAATAGAGTATTTCTCTCAGAATTTATGTTTTAAGAGTTTTTGCCTGCTGATCAGGAATCGATTGAGTATGCCTGAGTTCACGTAGGGGAAATGTGTCTGCTCGTCCATGTATTTGTATTTTGCACTACTGTATCAGCTAATGTAAAATAATATTTAGCTCTGAGTTTTGTATTTTGCAATTTGTTTATAAAATGATGTATTGTTGGAATATTGTTCCGATATAAGAAATATATTACAAGACTGGACGTGAAGGAAATAACACCACCTCGTGTCTTGTGCTCATTATTCCCCTTTCCAGGGGTGTAACATCTGTCAAATAGGATAGAAGCCTCTGCTTTGCTTGTTAAGAGTTGGTTAAGTGCTGATCTTGCGGATTCTAATTTCTTGAGATTCTGCTTAGACGGAGAACTCTTGAATGTGTTCTCTAGGTCCTCGATCAAATGTTCTAGTTCCAATTGCTTCCTGATTGTATCCCTTTTATGTGCTGCTGTGAAAGATATAATAGACCCCATTATAAAAGCCTTAGCTGTTTCCCACAATAAGGAAGGAGTTATACCTGGAGTGTTATTTGTTGACATAAAAAGTTCCCATTGCTTCTCCAGAAAATCCAAGAATGGGGGGCTACTTAACAACGAGGGATTAAGTCTCCAGTGGCGTGAGGAGGGATCGAGATAGGGGGGAGAGACAGTTATAGATACTGGGTTGTGATCAGACAATGTACGTATTTCAATTGAGCATGCTTTTACTCTGTCCATCACCTCTGTAGAGACTAGAAAATAGTCAATTCTCCACAGGGATTGGTGGGGGTGGGGGTGAGAGTAAAAAGTGTAGTCTTTTTCCCTTGGATTTCTGATCCTCCACACGTCAAAGAGACCGAGGTCTGCACACAGCTCCTTCAACCTCGCTGTCTTTTTTGTGGTGAAAGCTTGCTTTGGTGGCGGTTGGTCAATACTAGCATCCTGAACACTTTTAAAGTCTCCTCCAAGAACTGTGAAGGGGGTTAGATGTGAGAAGAAAGAGGGTTCAAATGTGTTTGGGCCGTAAACAGATCCGATAAGGATTCCTTCCCCATAAAGAAATCCTGAAATGATAACAAATCGACCTTCATCAATGATCTCTTCCAGATTAAAGGGCAATTTCTTCTGGATAAAAATGGCTTCTCCCATACTATGCGAGTTAAAGGATGAATAGAACACCTGGCCTATCCAGCCCCTCCTCAGTTTAATGTGTTCCACCTCTGTTAGCTGAGTTTCCTGTTGGAGGGCAATTTGTGCATTCGCTCTCTTTAAAAAAGAGATGATCTTCTGTCTTTTTACAACATGGCCTAACCCCTTGACATTCAAAGATATAATCTTAATATCACTCATGATGGTTATATGAAAACTGGATCCGCCAATAGTGTACAGACCGAATAGTGGGGAGGTTGCGAGCATTGCCAGCATGTCAACATTATGTTCCCAGATCGTAGCAAAGATGAAGATGCAATAAGAACAAATGTGGTAGGGTTCAGTGGTGGTGAGGAGGTGGTCTTACATTTTGGAGCACTGTAAACAAAAATTCTGCCCCCAAACAGCGGGCTTTGAACACTGAAACAGACCTCAACAGACCTAAAAACAAACAAAAAGCACAACCATATTAACCAGGTTTGTGTAACAGTTACAGCAGGTTGTATGACACTGAAAGCGAAATGAAATGAAATGAAAAATACTTTATTTATCCCAGAAGGGAAATTCAATAAAAAGACAGAGACACCGAAGAAGAAAAGTAACATTGATCTCTTCATGTAACCCCCACCCCCATGACAAAATTAGTTTTTTATATATATATCATAATGAACCAAACTAAATTTAATTTGACTTTTACCTTTTGAATTTGCACCATAGTCATTAGGACCCTAACTTATCAGATAAGTGCAATGTGGCCGCATTAACTGAATCTTACTAAAGGCTTTTCAAGACTACTGTGCACAGCTACACTGTGTGCACAATTATTAGGCAAGTTACATTTTTGAGGATTAATTTTGTTATTGTACAACTACAGTGCTCTTGGTCAATCCAAAATGTTAACAAACCCTCAAACTTGAACATTGAAGTAGTAAAAGTGAAGTTTTGGCCTTCTTAAGAGAATATCTATATGTACACCATTATTAGGTAACTATTAGTGTGCAGAATTATTATGCAACTAAATGAAAAACAAAGATTTTCCCATCTCACTTGTTTATTTTCACCTGTTAAAGTTAGTATAATAAACACATTCAAAATTTACAAATAAACATTTCTGAAATTAAAAAAAAAAAAACCCTCAGTGACCAATATAGCCGCCCTTCTTTTCGATAACAGTCACAAGCCTTCCATTCACAGAGTCAGTCAGTTTCTTGATCTGGTCAGAATCAACTTTTTATGTAGCCGCAACCACAGCCTCCCAGACACTGTTCAGAGAGGTGTACTGTTTACCTTCATTGTAAATTTCCTGCTTAAGAAGGATCCAAAAGTTCTCAATAGGGTTTAAGTCAGGTGAAGAAGGGGGCCATGTCATTAGTTTTTCATCTTTAAGGACTTTACTGGCCAGCCACGCAGTGGAGTACTTTGATGCATGTGATGGAGCGTTGTCTTGCATAAAAATGAAAGTCTTCTTGAAAGATGCAGATTTTTTCTTGTACCACTGCTTGAAGAAAGTGTCTTCTAAAAATTGGCAGTAGGTCTGAGAGTTGATTTTGAGTCCATTTTCAACCCGAAAAGGTCCAACTAGCTCCTCTTTAATAATACTTGCCCATACCAGCACCCCACCTCCACCTTGCTGCCGTCTGAGTCGAAGTGGAGCTCTGTGTCCGTTACTGATCCAACCACGGGCCCATCCATCTGGTCCATCAAGAGTCACTCTCATCTCATCAGTCCACAAAACCTTTGAAAAATCTGTCTTCAGATATTTCTTGGCC